CTAGAAAACCAAATCAACGGCCGTGGGGATTCGTTGCGATGACCACGCAACACCCTCTATCCTCTAAAGATGTTACTGACTTCGCCGACAGGCGGCGGTCGTACGGTCGGTATGGTTCGCTTGCGGACTAAAGGCATCGAGTTTTCTATGCTAAGGTTTCTTTTTAATGGAAGCAGAGCCTGCGATAGGCTTTTCTTGTGTAAGAATGGTTGTCACTGTACAGAAAGTAAACTGTTTAATTTACACACATCCGTAGATAAGCGGATACGAAAGTGTTTCCAATGAAGACGCTAGCTGGGAATCACGTGACTTGTTTTCTGTGTGGTCTTCCTTATGCAACAATACAACAGGGCTTTCTGTGCGTGGTCCGTGCCGATTCTATATAAGAAGCAGTTCAGTTCGGTGTTTCGTCAGGAAGACGTCAGCAGTTTGTATGTTAACCTTGAGAGTGTTATAATAGTTTGTGCAACACAGATGCAACAATCTTGAAAGTGCAATAACGAATTGTACTTACGAGGTGTGAAACTATCCAGTAAATCGAGTTATCAAATAAGGAACCCTTTGTTTACCGTCGCGTCATCAGGTTACAGGCGAAAATACAATATAATAAAGAACTTCGTGGACTGTACTCAGCAAGCGAGCTATACCGACATAGCGACCACCGCTTGTCGTCGAAGTTAGTGCCAACTTTTGCGGATAGAAGGTGTCACGTGGTCAGCGCAACGAATCTCCACGGCTGTTAATTTCGGTTCTCTAGGCCGGAGCAGCTTTTTGTTTGAAATAGCTCCTCAATTATCATCACGAGGCTGAGCGGAACCCATTCCAGACCCACTACTTCACAGAAAATCTGATAGCGCCAAGGATCGAAGCCGGGACCTCTGTATATTTAGCCAGGAACTCTGACCACAAGACCATAGAAACCTTCGATATTATAATATGTTGTAATAAGTTTAACTGTACACACTTTTTGCGCTTTAACTATCCATTGGAAGTAACGCATTCATATGAAATACCTTGCTTGTCGCAGTTAAGCTCTGTGGGATTTGTAAGATGTTCAACTTAAACGGAAACCTTCGGAACGAATTGACCGAGTAAGGGAGGGACTTACTGTGTTACAGCCAAATATGGCGTGTGAAAACAGCACTGATCATCAGAACTTTTGAGGATGGAAAGGGGGGGTGTGATAGAGAGAGGAAAGTTTGTGTCTATAACTTCGGACGCTAACTGCACATTGATACGAAAGATTTCAATAGTTTCATCTGTTGAATGAAAATCCGTGTCAGGTCGAGGATATGTTTACGTTTTGGACAAACTGGATAAACATCAACACACTTGCAAGCGACTCGATCTGGTCTGAGTCCACCTATGGGATCTTAAGCTACATATTTCTCCTGTGCTTAGACACAGAAATGTGACGTCAGTGAAATCGCGGCCCAGGGACTTTCCTATGGGGAGCCATGGAAATATAAACGCAAGGGAAGGAAACAACTGTGGACATGCACAGCTACTAAGGGGGAAAATATTGTCGCGTATCGGGCGTACAACGCGACAAATAAATTCACGCCGTATTTTATATAGCGAATTTTATTTCACATTCGCACTTACAATCACCCAAATTACAGATTTGCGATTTCTGCTATCTGCAGTATCACAATTAGTACACTCCAAATGCCACAATACAACTGACTGATTGCTGGTTATCTCGGAACTAACTCGGAGGTAGCTCGAGGACTGACTCGTAGGTAGCTCCAGGACTCACTGACTGACTCAGTACAACTCTCTGTGCATAGACTTCGCTGCTCCTTATGTAGCGTTGATCGGACCATACAGAAAACGGCCACGTAATAAGCACCCTTGTTGCCTGGCGCTGTGTTGCTAGTAACGCTAGCGGTAGTAACCGCTGTTACTACCGTAACAATCCTGTTGCGTCACCGTTACGTTACCGTGCGGAGGAGGGGGAGGGGAGCGCTGACTCACCCGCCGCGTCACTGCTGGTGGGGGGGGTTCTCCTTTGCGCAACATGTCACAATATGATGCGGACCAGTAAATAATTTATCCTTTAAAAATAATAGCAGTTAGGATGCAAAATAGAGAATGATAGGACACAAAGAAGGTGTTAAAATTCGTTACAATGGAATAATGAAACCAGTCAAATAAAATAAATATCAGTTAAATAAAACATATAAACATCTAACAAAATTTCGACACGGACCAGAGAAATCACACAAGAAAACTGAATCTGAAGGTGACTATACTATTCAAACCTCTTATTTTATAAACCTAATGTACTAATCAGGCTTCCAATAAACAATACTGAGTTAATGCACTTAAAGATGTCGAGTTAATTGTAAAAAATCAATAAAGTCAACAGAAAACATTAAAAATGTGAAACCAAAATCCTGAACACATCTTCATAACAATGAACAGAGAAGATTGATGTGTGAATATTCCTGTAATACCATAAAACAAAACTTCAAAGAGATTAATACAACTTAAAATAATAGGAACAAATGAGCGTATGTTACTAAAACGAGTTTTATCAAGGAAATTATGAAGGTACAATGGTGAAAATCTTGCCCCCAAACATATCACACAGTAAAACGTTCAGCTTCTGTAACCAGGTAAATTCTTGAAGCAAAATATATTATTTTAAATACAGTAATTCAGTTGATGCAATAAACATTTTCATATAAATGCAAAATAAAGAATGTGTCTATAGACTGGCACTGTAGCGATGAATGGATGTTTTCGTGCACACATTAAACGAAAAGGTTATCTCTAATGTTATTCCATGCGATGATTGTTAGTTTTCCGCCACAAGTGAACATTCACTTCCATATCTGACGGTCATGCTTGTTCTGTACTGTGTGATTTGAGATGCATATTCAGAACGAAGCGTTGAGTGAACCTTTTCTTACACAGTTTACATGAGAGAGGCCGTTCTCCACTGTGCACTCTCAGATGTTTCTTCAGGATATATCTATTAGCGAACGATTTCTTACACACTTTGCACGAAAGAGGCCGTTCTCCATTGTGAATTCTTAAATGTTTGTTTAGGTTAGATCGCTGGGCGAACGATTTCTTACACACTTTGCACGAAAAAGGCCGTTCTCCACTGTGAACTCTGAGATGTGTGTTTAGGTTAGATCGCTGGGCGAACGATTTCTTACACACTTTGCACGAAAGAGGCCGTTCTCCATTGTGAATTCTTAAATGTTTGTTTAGGTTAGATCGCTGGGCGAACGTTTTCTTACACATTTTGCATGAAAAAGGCCGATCTCCATTGTGAACTCTGAGATGTATGTTGAGGTTAGAGCGCCGGGCGAACGATTTCTTACACATTTCGCAAGAAAATGGCCGTTCTCCATTGTGAATTCTGAGATGTTTGTTTAGGTTAGAGCGCTGGGGGAACGTTTTCTTACAGACTTCGCAAGAAAATGGTCGTTCTGCAGCATGCACTTTGGTATGGTTGTACAAATTAGAGTGACTTGTTAACTTTTTGCAATCTTTGCTAGAAAAAGACTCTCTGAGACCACTTGATCCTTGTACCGCACTATGCTTGAGAGTTAACGATGTGACACACATTTCACAAAGAGACATTGTTTCTCTACTATTTCCACTTGCATGACGCAACACATTAATCCCAGGAGAGAATGACTTCTTGCATATCCCGCAAGAATCGGAGTTTTGTTCTCTGTTTAACAAATCTGCTCCCTGTTCACGACGAAGTTCCTTGGCATTAAAATCCTCATTATCGTGTGTTGGTTCAATATTTGCTGCATTTAATTTAACACTCTGAAAAAAACGTAAATGGTATCAGAACCCGCAGTGGATTTGGGCTCGGAGACATTTTCCACTAATACACACGACACTTTACAAATACTGTTACACAAGGAGAAACCAAGATGAAATTTTGTCCCGGCTTGATCCTCAAATTTACTAATCCAATACTAAGCAAATATTAGCATTTGTATGCCAGTTTCAGTGGAAATGTTGCGTGCTTCTCACGCTATGCTACGCATTGGTTAACCGAATCAGTTAAACTGGTCCTGCCATCTACTGGAATTAATGAGAGTGAAGAATCATATTTGCCTTGTATGTGTAATTATTTGACCGGAATAGTTCTTGAAATTCTTACTGGTACAGAGCACGTTCAAGCGTGTGTAAATTATATTTCTGTACATAAAGTTACATTGCAGGATCCTGTTGCACTGCACAGGTCTGACTCTGCGTTTTCATTTAATGCCGTCTATTTGTAACTTCGGTTACACTTACTAACAAGGAATCTGCTGCTCACTGTAAAACTGTTTTGTCTCTTATGCAGTTGCCTCACTTTACTTCGGATTACGTTGGTTAATTATCTGTTTTCAATTTGGTGTCCTTAATCTATACGTCTTTTGCTTTATTTGTAATATGTGATGTGTTATGTTAGAGCTTTGTTTTGAATTTTATATGTCTATTCAGTTAATGTATTTATTGGTATTATTTACGGTATTGTTTGATTTGTTGCCTGTGACTGTCTTGGCTGTTCTTGCTTATGGTCGTCCACCATCATGATCCTTCGGTGGAAGGGTTTCCTGACATTCCTGACATCGGGGGTGTTGCTTCCTAAGATGTTGTGTGTGTTGTGTGCTGCTCTCTGGTGTTTCTTTTCTGTAATGCTTTTAATATTGATTTATATATGTCGGTGTAACTCAAAATAATACTGTAATATATCACTTCATATATTACAGATAAAGCAAACACGTTGAGATCAAGGAAACGAAAGCGAAGGCAGATGGCTAAAACACATAACTGGAACTAATCCGAGGGAAACACATAAGAGAAACAAAAAAGCATTGCAGTGAACAGCAGATCGCATGATGAAAACAATATTTACATGTAAAGATGGTCCGTTAGACGGATAAGATATCATCATCATCAGTAATCTGTCAAAACGACAGGTCCACAGCCTCTTCCAAAACAATTCCTGCACTTAATGCGATCTAGAGCTTTCTCCTTCAAATGACAGTATCCTCTTCTGTTCCCAAGGTCATCCAGCATCTTCTTCCGTCTTCTTCCTCGTCTTCTTGTCACTTCTATCCGCCCCTCTATCTTTCCTTCGATAACTTCTTTTAGAAGGCAGTTTCTGCTTAAAACATGACCAATCCTATTAGCCTTCCGTTTTCTTATTTCGT